ATGAAAATGGCAGGTGATGCGTTTCGTTTTTGAACAAGGTGGGTTACAGGCAGTGCAGGCAGAAGAAGGTCAGACAGTTGCAAAGGGGTCGGGGCCTCCCTGCTGCTGGTTCCCCCTGCTCAGGGGTGCCCAGGGCAGCAGCCCCCACAAACCTCTTCCTTGGTTCTCTCCCTTGGGACCCCCAAGAGACCCTGAGATGCTGATTGCTTTGCAGAAGGGAAGGATTAGAAGGGAAACGCTCAGGGTAGGATCCACCTGGGCCGGCTGCTTCCAGCAAAGAACCGAATATCACGGTCAATATCTCCAAATTATTTATTCTGCCAGGCCGCCATCTTCTCGAGAGGAGGCTGAAGAAGGAGCCCTGGGCTGCTGGCCCTTGATCTTCCAAAGAGGACATCTTGAGCTCCTTGGCCTCTTTAGAAGCTTGCAACCTAATCCCTTTGCCTGAGCTGGAGCCCCAGAGGCAGGAGAGCCCAAATGAAAGTGTTCTGGGCCTTGCGTGGCGCGACCAGCGCCGTTTTCCCCGGAAGCTTTGGTGCTGCGGGTGAAGTCCTGGGCAGGCGATCTAAGGCGCCTGCCGCAGCTCCCCTGCCTGGCCAAAGAGAAGGGCCTCCTTGCGAAGGGCACCTCCCAAGCCCACCCACGGCTGACTTCAGGGCCAGGCTCAGCGTCCTGCTGCTGCTCTGCCCTCCTCGCCTTGGCATCTGAGCCGCCCTCTTGAGTTACAGCCTTGGGCAGGTGCGCCGAGCTGGGCTATAAATATCCCCAAGAAACTTAACAGGCAAGAAGGAGGCGTCTTTGGGGAACATGGTTGGCTGGACGAGGTTTGCCCAGAGCTTTGCCCAGACTTGAGCCCAGACCCCTTGACCAAATTGCTTGGGGATGGGCCAAGCAGTACACATTTTTCACCCAGCCGGGTCACCCGGATGGCCCTCCAGCAGAACCCGGGAGGCCCCTGCTGACTTGGCCCCTCCAATGCCCTCTGGGCGCTTCTGCGTCTGCCCTCCCAGAAGTCTGCCCGCTTTTCTCTGCAATTAACCCCATCACCTGGGGGGGGGGCAGGGGGAGGGGGCAGCCTGTGCAAAGAGGGACCCAGCTTTCCTCCCCAGGAAGAGGAGGCTGGTTGGGCTTTCAGGGAGGGGGGAGCATTTGGTATTCCGAGGGGTGTGAGGGTCACCCCGAGGGAATCCCCACTTCGCACCTGGGTTTTTCTGCACCATCCTTCCTGTTCCCTCCATCCCTTCGTTCAAATAAATGGGCCGGGGGGAGGAGAGGGGGAAAGCCAGAGAGGCGGCCTGGAGAAAGGCCCTCGTTCCATCCCTCCATCCATGGAGGCCAGAGGTTGCTGGCCGAGCCTCTGAACCGAATGCCAGGCCCCTCTGAAGGGTCCGAGGACACCCGGGTTCCAAGACTGTCCCCTCTGGGCCCAGGAGGCCTCCCAGACTGGCTGTTTTCTGGGGACAGAAGGTGGAGAAGGCCGGCTGACCCCCCCTCCTTGTGATCAGAGCCTTTCCTGGTTTAGGACGCTGACCTGCCTCTCCCTGCCCTGGCTAATCCTGGCACAATCCTTTGGTCATCCTTACAGTCAGCTTTGAGATTTCAGGGACTCGCCGAGCGGCTCCTTGCCGAATCTCCCCCCCCCCCCCCCCGTGCAGATGGATTTATTGGCCTTTTAAGGACTGGGATCCTCTTGAGCGTGGGACGCAGCCAAGAAAGCCGGAGAAGCTGGCTTGTTCTCCATCACCTTCGCCCACGAGGCAAGGAAAGGGCTGGTGGGGTGTTCATGGGATTATTCGTCCCGCTTTTCCGCTCTCCCACCTGCATTCATGGGTCCCGGTCACGGGCCTGGTGGGAGCAGCCCACAAGCCATGGTTGGGTCTTTAAAAGCAGTCACGGGCCAAGACCAACACAAAATGCTTAGTCAGTTGGAAAAACCTTGGCCCAGAACTGGTGGAACCTGCCCGTCCCGGCAGCAGCAGGATGTCTGGCTGCACCACCAGGGAGGATACGGGACAGGCGAGGGGCAGAGCCACCTGGGCACAGCTGCCTCCCAGGTCTGGGCAGGTGAGGATCTTCCCAAGTGGGGATGGGACTTCCCACGCCACAAAGAGTTGAGGTGTGGGGTCCCCTTCACACAGGGGACCCCACTCGACGGAGAGAGGGAGCAGCTGCCGCGGTCTCTGGATGGAGCAGCCTTGGTCTCCTGGCCCCTCGGCCACAGCTGCCTCTCAGAGGCCTTTCTGCAAGCCTTCTTGTGACCTTCATGGACCAACATCAGCAAGCCTGGAGGGCCGGAGCCCGTGGCCTTCGGAGCAGCCTCCCCAGACCCGGTCAGGTCCCCGTTTGTCCCCAGCTGCAGAGAACCTCCTTGCCTGAGCAGGATGGAAGGGAGGCCAAACCGGATGCGGCTTCTGCAGGCTGCCAAAAGGGCCTTTTCGCCCAGAAGCATCGGAGGGAGGGAGGGAGAGCTGCTCCCTGGCCTGGCTGGCTGCAGCAATTGTTGGCTTTGGAGGGGGGCAGAGAGCGGAGCTCTGAAGCCCCCCCCCTCCCCTCCCCCCAGCACTGGCGTTTGAAAGGGGCTGCTCAGCATCGCGTGGTGGAAGGAAGGCCGGGGGGCAGAGGCTCCTTGTGCTGCTTTTGGGAGGCGCTGGGCACGTCTCCCGCTTAAGGACTTTTCCATGGAAGACTTAAAAAGAGCACGGAGGTCCAAGGCGCAGCCTCCAGAGAAGCCGTGGATCGAGGCCACGGGAAGACCCACCCGGTGGCTGACGGTCCTGGGCCGGCGTCCGTTTACTGGGAGGACGGATCCTGCCCTCCTGCTGCACCGGTTTGGGGGTGAATGTTTCTCGGGAGCAGGATTAGCCCTCGTGCACTGAATCGTCCCTGGGATCCACTTCTGTTTTCCCATCTTGAGGGACACGTCCGTGGCTGCCTCTGGCACAGCTGGAATTGGGGGGGGGCAGGAAAGGAAAACCCGGACAAAGCTGTTTTTCTTCTGCTCCCGGGCCCTCCCTCTCCCCCCCCCCCCATCCCTGCCAGCGGCTTTGCGTCACCATTATTTCCCACCCTCCATTCTCCACAGTGATCCTTCCAGGTAGACTGAGGCATACCTGACTGTGCTGCCCACCTGGCCAGTTGGAAAGGAAACACACACACACACACAGCCCATGTTGAGCATGGCCCCCCCCCCGTGACTCAGGTGCATCCATTTCACTTCGGCAACATCCTGGAAGTCACCGGTTGCTCCCTTAATGGGATGTTTGTTTGAGGTTCTCAACCTTGTTTGCAGGCTCCGGATCTCCCAGGGGTCCACTATCCCGATTATCCCTCTTGTATTTTGCACAGCTGAAAGCTAGTGCAACGGCAGAGAGGATCGCCCCGGGGAATTGCTCCGGGGAATCTGAGAGCCGGCGCTCCCTGCAGATGGGAAGCCCAGCTCGCCCCTTGTCCTGCACTGGTAAGGGGCCTAAGACCGCCGGGGAGGCCCCTGTCTCTTCTAGCCCAAATCCAGGTTTTTGGCACCATCAAGGATCGAACTGCTGTGGGGACCTAAACAAGGAATTCACACACACTCCCTTGGGACTTACAAAGCCTACATTGAATAACACATAATTTAGTAACCTCTAACAAACACACCTTCCCCTGCCTCCTTATGCAGATCCAGACAATTGTTCTCTGAGGAGACTTCCTGTCGCAACCCAGAATGAGTAAATGTTTTGGCCTTTTTGCCTTCCGGGCAGAGAGGATGCCTGCAAAATCATTAGGCAGAAAGATAATTAACTCCTCTGAGGATCAATCTTAAAGTTACAACCGTTTTTTCCGGGTTGAGAGCAGTTTGTGAAAGCGCCTTCTGACTCCGCGGAAGAAAACAGGTGGGGGCACTGGGGAAAGGCTGCTGTGGGTCACAGAGGATGCCGTCCAAATGGCACCGCCAGGCAGGCGGGGAAAGGGGCCCGTTTGGGCAGGGAGAGAGAGGTAAGGGATCCCGGGCTGCTTCCTGGTGCCCAGAATCCGCACTCGCCCACCTTGGCCCGGGGCTGGCATAGAGCCTGGCTCGCTTAGCCGAGAGCTGCACTGGCTGAGAGAGAGGGGCTGGGCTGCTGGGGCTCAGGGCGTCGACCTGGGAACCGGCTGTTGGGCCGGTGAGTGAGCAGCTCAGGTGGCACGAGGTTAGTTAGAGGTGTGTTTCTTCCAAGTTGGCTGCTTTAAGATCTGCGGACTCCAACTCCCAGAATTCCCAGCCAGCACGCCGGGCGTTGAAGTCCACACACCTTAAAGTGATCGCATTCCCCGAGTGCTGCCTTAGAAAGCCCCGGTAGTGGCAGCCGGCCAGCCAGCCCAGCTGAAGTGGAGGCACGGCTCGCTCGTGAAGGGAAGCGGCCAGCACCCGGCGCCGCCGTGGGTGCAAGTGGGAAGCTTGGCCTCCGCCTCGCGCTCCCCTGCCTGGGCATCCGGAGCGGCCGGGGGGCATTCGGGGCGGGCGCTGCTGCCCCTCCTGGCTCGCCCCTTTCCCCGAGCAGAGCCGGCCGGGGCTTCGCCCGACTTGAGCCTCTCCCGGAGGGAGCCTCGCCCCCCCCCCCAGCCCCCCCCGGACCCCCGTGGCAGCGCCCGGCCGCCGCCCCCCTCCTGCCCCCCCCCCCCAAGCGGAGCTGCCGTTCCTGGGTGGGCGCCGGAGGAGGAACCGGCTGGCGACGGGGATGCGGCCCCCGGGGAGGCTGCCTCTGCCCAAGGCGGCGCTCGCTCGCCCCCCACCCCCCCGCTCCGTCCCCCGAGCTCCGGCCGGCAACCGCGGGAGCGCCCGCCCTGCGAGGGAGGCCTCCGCCGCCGCCGCCGCCGCCGCCGCCCTGCCCTTCTTTAGGCATCGGCGAGGGCAGGCGGGGCGGGCGCGGGGCGGGCGCGGGCGGAGGGGGCGGCGCGCGCGGGGCCCTTTCCCAAAAAAGCATTGGCTGCCCGGCGGAATGCGGCGCCCCCCCGCCCCGCGAGGGTACTTATCCGCCCGCGGCCGCCGCGGAGCCGCTCGCACTCCGGCCAGGTCGACCGTCCCAGCGCAGCTCCGCCGCCGCCGCCGCCGCCTCTTCCTCCTCCTCCTCCTCCTCGACGGACTTCTGGCAAGTGCCCCGCCGCCGCCATGGACGCCATCAAGAAGAAGATGCAGATGCTGAAGCTGGACAAGGAGAACGCGCTGGACCGCGCCGAGCAAGCCGAGGCCGACAAGAAGGCCGCCGAGGAGCGCAGCAAGCAGGTGGGCCGCCCGCCTCGCCCGGAAGGAGCAGCCGGGGCCGCCCCGAGACCCCCGGCGGTGGCGGCGCCTGGGACGGGCTGCCTTGGGCGCTCCCCGCACGGCCCGCTCGGGGAATTGGGAGGGGAGGAGCTCGGCATCCCCCTCGGCGGGGATTTGGGGGGGGGGCTCTGTGAATTGGGGGGCCTGGATCCCAAGTGGTTGGTTGAATGGAGCCGGGTTGGTTGTTTCCGAGAAAAAGCAGCCGAGTGGAGGCGATCCAGCCCCCCAACTCCCCCTTCACAAGAGGCGTTTGCGCTCCTGGAAGTTCAGGTGTGGAGCCCGTCGGAAGGACGCCCCCCGCCCGCCCCCCTTTTCCTCCCTGGGGAGTCCCCTATCGTTAGTTGCCCCAGGCGGTGGCCAAGTTTAGTCTTCCCCACTTTATGCCTTGTAGATGTGTTGGGAGGACACCTCCGGTCATTTGAGGCTGCAGCTGGATGACGGGAGGAGGGTTTTTTTAGGGGGGGGCGCTGGGTTGGTTGAGGCTCTGGGGCTTCACCCAAAGGACAGGAGGGCGACTGACTGGGTCATCGGACCTGGAGAGCTTAAGGCCCCCCGGCCCTCCTTTCTCAGCTGGTCTGGCCCGCCTGTCTTGGATCCTTCCAGTTCTTCCAACTGCAACGGGGTCAACCCGAGCAGAGCTGCCCCCCCCCACCCCGCTCCTCTGGGGTCGCCCAGTTCCCCCAGCCATGAACCAAGCGAAGGGGCAGCTTCATCCAGACAACCCTCTGGGTCCCCAAAGCATCCAAGATAGGTGGGTTGTGTGAACACCCTCTGAGTTTGTACCTGACCCGGTTGTGCTGGTGAAGGCCGCCAGGGGAGGGAGGGAGGGAGGGCCGGACTGGGGGAGAGTAAAAGTGCTTCCTCCTCTTTTTGCCTCTGGCTGGTGCGGCTAGTTGGAGGACGACATTGTGCAGTTGGAAAAGCAACTGCGGGTCTCGGAGGACGAGCGGGACCGGGTCCTGGAGGAGATGCATAGCGCCGAGGACAGCCTCCTCACTGCGGACGAGAAGGCCACCAAGGTAGCCTCTCCGGATGCGCTAACCTCCTTCTCTCCTCTTCCCCTCCTCCCTCTGTCCTTCTGCACCTCCTCCCCCTCTTCTTCTTCACGCCGCCGTCGCGTTGCCTGCTGCACCCCCTTCCCTTCCCCCCACTCCCCCTCATCACCCCCCTCCCCCGGTCCCCAACCTCCGGGCAGTTGGAAGATGAGCTGGTGTCCCTGCAAAAGAAGCTGAAGAGCACCGAGGATGAGCTGGACAAGTATTCGGAGTCTCTGAAAGATGCCCAGGAGAAGTTGGAGGTGGCCGAGAAGAAAGCTGCAGATGTGAGTACCTCTCTAGCTCCCCCCCCCCACTGAGCATGTACACACACCCCCATCTTTCTGCCTCTTCTGGTCACTCAACCTCTCGGCCTGCTGGACTTGCCACCAGCCATGGGGATCACCCCGCCCCCCGCGCGCGCCAGGACCCGAGAGGGCCTGGGCATGAGATCTGCCATCCATCAGCCAAGAATCCTGGACACCTGGACAGCTCCTGCTGCCCCAGATGCCCACCTGGTGTTGGTGCCAAGGGAGCAGCAGAGGTGTGTCCCGCTGTGTTACTAGGAGCCATACCTGAAGCTGTTTGGGGGAAGGTTGTTGGACATGAGGCCGGCGCCCTCAGGTGTAAAACGAGAAACGCCTTTCTCCCAGGACCAAATCCTTGGACCTGCCCCCCCCCAGCACCCCCAGGGGTGAAAGGGCTTGCCTGGGCCAGTAGGCCCACCGAGTTCTTGAGCCAAGATTCCCATGTGGGAAAAGGTGCCCGGAGGACGAACGCTGATGCCTCAGAGGTGCAAAGATAGGCCGCTGAAGCTGGATGCCCGAGGCGTGCCAAGAGGCTTCTTGACGTGCCAAGGAGGGGATACTTGCTGGCTTGGCATTCAGTCACGGCCGGGGCCGGATCCCGGTGAGCGGGGGTTATATATAGCTCAGCACTTTATATGGAAGAGGGAGCTGTCTCTCTCACCCCCACCCACCTGTCTAAGTATTCAACCGTGCTACGGCTGCAGCCCTCCAGCCTTCCTGGCCCCTCAGCCTTCCCTAAATTCATTCCAAATCTGGGCTGTCGGCCCCTTAAGGTTGGGGGCGGGGGGGGGGGAGCCAGACATCCCAAGCAGATGATGTCATGCGGAGGGAGGACTACCACTCTCTTTAAGGGAAAGAAAGCAGCTAGAAAGTGTGCTGGTCACGTGGGGCTTTCAGGCTTGAAGGCCGGAGCGGAGGGAAACTCTAAACAGGGCAGAGCAGCTTTAGGGGCTCTCGGTCTCAGTCTTGCCTAGCCGCTCCTTGTGGACGGCGGTTCTGCCCAACAGAAACCGGACTTCACGTCAACTTTGGAAGCGCAGAAAGCCTCTCCTCCTCCTCCTCCTCCTCCTCCTCCACGACTGTGCCTAATCGGCCTCAGATGCGCCCTCCTCGCTGTGGCTTCCCGATAGATGGGAGTCAGCATTCCAGCCCGGCGTTTATTTAACTTGTTCAAAGGAACCGCAAATAGATCCCGGGGAAGATATTCCTTATAAGGAAGAGAATGCAGACTATTTTGAAATAGCTGGTCTCAGTAAAAGGCAGGAGAGAGGAGGAGGAGGGAGGGAGGGAGGGAGGGAGGGAAGGAGGCCAGAGAAATGCTACCGAATTTGCAGAGAGGAGATTCTGCCGGTCTTGGTTTTTTTAACTCCTCCAGGGAAAAAAGGTTTATTTTTCCGTAGACCTGACAGAGAATCTGGGGTCCTTGCCCAGCAGTGGGTTTTCCTTCTAAGTAGTGCCCGAGCCTCGCCTTTCCTTCCTTTGGCCCTTCAAATACTTTGCATTTTGTAGAAAGGGAGAGAAGGCGACTGCAGGGTGGAGGGATATGGCAGGCGAGGAACAGCTGGCAGGACAGAGGTACAGGAGGAGGGTGGAGGCGCTTGCCAGGAAGAGCTCACCTTTGCTGGCACAACTGGGCCCTGACTCATGGCTGTGCTCAGCTGGCGAGTACAGACTCCGCCTGGGGGGGGCGGGGGGGGGGGGGCGGGCAGCCTGAGTAACCGTTGGGCCGGCTGGGAAGGTGTCTCCCACACTTCCTAACTGCACAGCTCCTCTTCCCGAAATACCTTTCCCCCCTTCAGGCTGCAGCCTTGTAGATCAAGGGCCCCTGCCTGAACACGCCGCGTTTTGCACAAAGGGGGCCGGGAGGAGGAGCCCTTTCGGGAAGCAGAGGAGGAGGAGGAGCCGCCCTGCCGCCTTCAAGGTGGCGATCCTCCTGCTTTTCTCTCCTGGGGAAACGAGGGAGGGGATGGGTCTCTCATGGCAAATCTCTCCTCTTCCGTTGAGTGGGGAGGTTTCCCAGGTCAAGACAGCCGTCTTCTGAAGCCCCCGGCCCAATTGTAGCCCCCCCCGGCCCCCGTGTGGTCTGGATCCCAAGGAGGTGGGGTCCCTCCAGGGGCCTGAAGGAGAGGCCAGGGCTAGGCTGAAAAAAAGCCACGGATATCCCGTCGCCTGCAGCCTCCTGGCTTGGCTCCTTCGGCCCCGTCAGCTCTTCCTCGCCCTCCTGGCCAGAGCCGGGTTTGGGCTGCCGGATTCTCGTCCCTGGCTGCCTTTAGCTGCACTTCCTCCGGGCGGATGAACCAGGAGGGGGAAATCTCATTGTGCTCAGCCAGCAGAGCGGACAGAACTGGGCTGGGGGAACGAAGGTGACGGACTGTCGGGGGGCGGTTGGCTTTGCAGTCCTCCCCATCTCAGCCCAGCACCCGGTTGGGGCTCTTCTGGGGTAGCGGATGGGCCTCCTGGCGGCGGCTGCTCCTCTCCAGGGTTCTCTGAGTCGGGGGGGGGGGGGGGGAGGGCAAATCTTGGAAATCCCAGCCTCCCACATCCTCCCGTATTGGGAAATCCCGGAGGTCATGACTCTCGGCTCCCGTTGTTGAATGGAGCATTTCTTGGCCCCCTGAAAGGAGTCCCTGCCCTCGGAGGTGGTGGTGGCCGAGGAGGAGCAGGCGGGGCGGGGGGAGGGGGGTTTCCGGTTCCAGCTGTGCCCTCCCCCGGGGGTTGCACACGGCCTTCTCTCCACTTCCCTCTTTCCACATTCGCTGCTGCTGCTGCTGCTCTCACGCCCGCCCGTCCTGGGGATTTCCTGGGGGGTTGTGCTGGCTGGCCCAGAAATGCCCTTTGGGTCCTCCTCGGTTTCTTGGGAACAATCTCCCAGGGAAAGTCCCCAGATTTCCTTCCCAGGCTCCGAGGGTCTCCTGGAAGTCCATCGGCTTTTCCACAGCAGTTTTTTCGCTTGGTTGTTGCAAGAGGGCTCTGAGAGCCTGGGCGGAAATGGGGGGAGGGAGTTGGCCAGGTGTGAAAGGGGGGCTGTCTGGGGCTTTTCCGGGGTTCAGGATCCCCCGGTGCCCGTGCTGGGCTGCAGTAGCGCCCCTTCTCAGCTTCCCCGAGGGGAGCCAGCAACTGCGAGGCCGCTGCTCGGGGCCCTCTGAATGCCGGGCTGCGTCAAGCGGCCGGGCTTTTTAGGCCCTCCCCCCTCCTGGGCCCTCCCCGGGGCGCTGGGTTGCAGGACCAGCCTGGCTCCCTCTCCCCTTGCCCCCAGCCGTGCCTTCGTCCCGCGGGGCGCTTTGCCGACTCTGGAACGGGGGTCCGCGGGCGCCGCCGCCGCCGCATCAGCCCAGCCTGAGCGCTGCGGGCTCCGCGGGTGCCGGCGGGGGCGTCCAGGCGGGGCTGAGCCGGGGCTGGGGAGGCGGGCGCTGCGGCGCGCAGAGGCCGGGCTGGCCGGCTGCTGCTGCTCCTCCTCCTCCTCCCTCCCCTCCCTTCCCGGCCCTGCCCGCCCGCGCCTTCCTCCTCCTCCTCCTCCCGCCCGTCTTCCTCCTGCGCTGCGGGCCCTGCGATGGCGGCGGGGCTGAGCTCGCTCGAGGCGGTGCGCAGGAAGATCCGCAGCCTGCAGGAACAGGCGGACAGCGCCGAGGAGCAGGCGGGGCGGCTGCAGCGCGAGCTGGACGAGGAGCGGGCGTTGCGCGAGCAGGTGAGCCGGCCGGCCGGCCGGGAGGGACAAAGGCGGCCCCGGAGCAGCGGCCGGAGCTCTTCGGCCACCTGGGCGCCTCCCGCCCTCTCTCCCGCCCGCCCTCCGCACTGCGCGGCCAGCCAACGAGGCTGGGCGGGCGACCCCCGGGCGCGGCTCAAGGGATGCCCAGCCCCGCCGGTGGCCCCGCCAGGTGCGTTAGGAAGCGGACGAGGCTCCTTCCGCGTCTGCCTGCAGGGGCTCCGGGCAGCCGGGACAAGCTCGGCCCTTCTTCCCCTTCTCCCCGCCAACCGCTCCCAGTTCAGGGTCCCTCCGGCTCCAGTGGCTCCCTGGATCCTTCGCGAGAGCCCCTCCCCCACCCTTGGCGCGCTGTCCCAGACCTGCCCCCCTCGCCCCCCCCTTTTTTGATGCTCTGCCCACCTCCGACTCTGAGCCCGCCCCCTGCCGCCCCCCAAGTGAGGGTGGGTCCTTTCCTGGCACCTGCTGGGCTTCTCCCAAGCGGGAATGGTCCAGGGTGCAAGACCACCTGAGCTAATATATTATGCAATATAATATAATATAATATAATATAATATAATATAATATAATATAATATAATATAATATAATATAATATAATATATCTGCCTAATATTCCGCTCTGCATATTCCAGACCTCAACTGTTTTAGAGAATCCCACAGTGGCAAGGAAGCCCTCCGGCCACTGGGACCAGCAGGAGCCCTTAACTGGGAGCCCCAGTCTGGCCCAATGTTGCATGTTTGGCCATAAAGCTAAAGGCTTCCTGGGCGGCAGAGGAAATGCTGCTGGCTGGGTTGTAAGGATGGTGCTGCTTCCTGGGGCTGCTTTTGTGGAGACCGAAATCGGTTGGAATCTGGGGGGGGCGAGGGGGATAACATATGGGGCTCCCCTCCCTTTCTCTGATGCAGTTAAGACCAGGGGGGCCTTTTCTGTTGAACTGTCCTGGGCTCCGAATGCCACCCTTTTAGCCAGGTAGCCTCGGGGTTTGGAGGCTGACCTGAGCACACCTTTCTCCCACCTGCCACTCCCCCCCCCAACTGGGCCAGCCAAGACAGCGTCTAATGGGGGTTGGGGAGGGGCGTCAGTTGAGGGGGCCTGGGTTGCAAAGGGGGGAAATGGTTGCTTCCCAAGGGGGGAAGGGAAGATCTGAATCCCTCCGTTGGCCAATCCCTCGGCCACCTGGAGTGGAGCCTCCGTTCATCTGCTGGCCTGTGCAATAATAATGGTATTTTTGTGACCATATAAGGAAATGGCTTTGCCTTGTGGAAAATAGAAAGCGATAATCATTGGCCCGGACAGGGTGGCTGTGCTGGTTTCTCTTTGGGAACAGGAAGTAGGAGAGCGACCTTTCGGCCTCCAAGGGACTCCGCCAGATCCCTTTGGGTGTAATGATTAACAGGAGCGCCGCGGCTTCTCTTTCCCTGGAGGGAAGAAAAAGTCTGCCACGCGGATTCGGGGGGGGGGGGGGTGCTTTGGGTGTCCGTCCCCCCCATGTGCTTTGCTTTGCTTGAATCAAAAATGGCCGAAGTAGCCCCTGGATAAACTTCCTGGGAGTTGATCTGGATTAGCAAGGGAAGGTGCCAGGGGAGCGTTTCCCCTAACTTTCAGCCTTGTGGACTGCAACTGGGATTGCTGGCTGGGGAATTCTGGGAGTTGAAGTCCACAAGGCTGAAAGGGGCCAAGCTTGGAGACCCCTGCTGGAAGAGAAGGGGAGAGCCTTTGCCCACCGGGCTCGTGGCCTGCATGCTCTTCTCGTGGCTTCCTCCCTGCGTGGCCTGAGCCAAAAGGTAGGGGCGCGGTCAGGGTGGCCAAGGCTGTTGGGTGGTTTTAGGAAGCGGAGAAGAGGATGGGCGCAGGTCCGCTTGGTTGGGTGCAAAGGATAAGGGCAAATCGCATCTGCTTTAATTCGTTGGGTGCCATTCGCTCTGAAGGAATTTGGTGCGCAGCAAACCGTCCCATTTTAAGTTAAATGGCGCTTATTGCCCCGGCTAGAAAAAAAATAGTCGTTTTTCTTCTCTGATGGAAGCCCTTTTTTCTTGGCTGTGAAGAGGCTAAACCAAGGATGTCAGACCCTGGTCCTGGGGGGGGCGGGGGGGGGGGCGTGATCTCCCTACACCTCCCTCTTTGTGGTCCACTGCCGCTCTCCTGCCAGTTTGCAAAAACGGGCGTCTTTCCTTCTTTCTGCCAGGCTGAGAGCGATGTGCAATCTCTGAACAGGCGCATCCAGCTGGTGGAGGAGGAGCTGGATCGCGCCCAGGAGCGCCTGACCACGGCCCTGCAGAAACTGGAGGAGGCTGAGAAGGCCGCTGACGAGAGCGAGAGGTGAGGCCGGGCCCCTGGCGTGGGGGGCGCTGGGCTGGCGCAGAGCTCCGCCCCTCGGGGCAGTAGAGCATCCTGCTGCCCTTGGGGCGCTGAGGGTCAGCCCCGTCGCCTTAAGGGGAACTCGGTGGAACACAGAGATGCAGAATGGGAAGGGGACCTCGGAGGCCATCAAGCCCAGCCCCTGCATGCGGCAGGACTCCCTATACCCTTGTCCCCAATAGGTGGGCATCCAGCCTCTGATGAAAATTGGCAGTGGAGGGGAGGAAACCACGTAACAGGACAATTTCAGGGACTTCAACTTCCCTCTAGATTGGCGTTTGTCAATCTTGGCAATGTTCAGGCGCCTGGACTTCAACTCCCAGAATTCTCCAGCCAGCCTCGGGTCATAAAGAGAAACAGTGGCGCAGGCAAAAGTTGATTAGGGAGAGACTCTCTCTCTCTCTCTCTCCCTCTCTCACACACACACACACACACACACAGGCTCAGGCAGGGGTCAGGGAACAATTGCAGGCACGGGGAGAGAAGGGCTCCGGGGACCGAAGCCCTGCAGAGCAGGCACTTTTCCCGGGGCAGCCGCTGAGGTTGAGCTAGGCGGGAGGGCGGCATTGGCAGCCCTTGTGACGGAGATCAGGGGCAGCCGAGCGGTTGCAACCCAAATCGGGTGGGTGGCTTTGCCCCTGACGGTGCCCCTTCCCTCCCCCAGAGGCATGAAGGTCATTGAGAGCAGAGCCCTGAAGGACGAGGAGAAGATGGAGATTCAGGAGATCCAGCTGAAGGAGGCCAAGAACATCGCTGAGGACGCCGACCGGAAGTACGAGGAGGTGAGCCTCGGCTGAGCCCTGCCTGGCATCCCGTCGGGTGTGGTGGGACCCCTGGAAAACTTTGGGAAGGGAAAGGCGGAGCAGCCAAGCCCCAGGCGGCCGAGGGGTCCCACCAGGAATCAGCAGAGGGGGGGGGGAGGTGTTTCCCATCTCTGACGGCTTCTCCGTCCATCCAGCTGTGCTTGCAAGACTGCCCACCTCCCGGGAACAGTCGGGGAGAGCCTGCGAAGGCCCCCAGCTGCCAGGAGGGGGCTGATGTGGAGTGGCCCTTCCTTGGAAACGGCTTGGCCCCAAAGTCTGCACCAACCCCAGAAGCCAGTGGAAACGTGGCTCTTCCAGGGAGCTTCGGTGGACCGACGTCTCTTGATTGCATAACTTCCAACTTTGCCTTTCCATCTTAATAGTCCACCTGGCTCTCTGGAAGCCGCCCAGGACCTGGCTGGTTTCAGGAGTGCATCTCGGAAGGGAGGCAGCCCCTTCTGCCAGGGTCCCTTGCCGGGAATCCAGCACCCGCAAGGCATCCGTTGGCTAGAATGGCCTCCCCCGGCTTCATTTCCTCCCCCCCCCTTCTGTTTCCACGGCGGCTCTAGGTGGCCCGGAAGTTGGTGATCATCGAGAGCGACCTGGAGCGTGCGGAGGAGCGGGCCGAGCTCTCAGAAAGGTGCGCCTCCCTCCCTCCCTCCCTGGCTGCTGCTGCTGCTGCTGCTACTGGCCTTGCGCTGCCCGTGGATGTGGTGGCTGCTCTGGTGCCCTGGCTGTGCGCCCCAGTGGACGGGGCTGCTCTGTGTCCGTCCCCCATCCCCCACCCCCGTGCCTGTGTTTGCCTCTATGTGTTTCGGGCCGTGTTGGGGTTGGGGGGGGGCCCTGGTGTGGTTTGGGTCACTGCATGCTGCCATTGGTC